TGGTTTGACCCAAACCAATTTTGGTTTGGCTAAAACTCAAAGACATTAAGTTTTGTTTTAAAAAATGTTTGTTTGTTTGTGTTTTATAGAAAGCATAATTTGGTTACTGTGGAGTAATGCTCTTCCATGCATTCCCTTTCTCTGAAGCTTTAACTTGTGTTAATGGAATTTGACAGTAACTTTTGTGATGGTAAAATTCCCCTCTGTTTGTCCAGGTTTATTTCTTTACCACATAGAGAAAGTACAAGATTTTTCTTCTTCTCCAAAGATGATGAACGACTGAGAGGTACAACAGAACTTATTCACTTTCACTCTTTTTTTTTTTTTCCTTTTTTTTTCCTTTTTTTTTTTAACTCATACTGAAACTCAGTGAGGAAAAAATACTGCCTGGTTATTTGTTTTGTAACACAGATGAGAGGTTTAAGAAAAAAAAAATTAAATTGCAAATTTCCACCATTACTTGTGGTCTGAACTGTGGTAGAATGCCATGAGAAAGTCCAGGTAGAATAAATGCTGAATATCTGTCTTGCTTTCCTTTTTTTTTTTCAGATAATTGCCCAATATGTGGCTGATCTTTCAGGGCTTACCAAAAAAAAAAAAAAAATCCCTTGACAAGTTATCTGGACATTTTGGATCCTTTCAGGCATATATATGATCTTTAGCTTTCTTCTGTCTTTCTGGTGTTACTGTTAGGAATGCTGAATATTCTCATGAGCCACTTATGCCCACGTGGTTCTCGATCCTAATTAATCTGGGTTTTTTTCATACGGTTACAGTGAGTTTTTTATTTAAAACCAAACAAAACATCACCCCCTCCCCCCCCAAAAAAATTCACGGACCACAAAAACAATTGCTTGTGATGTTTTATGCACTAAATTATCAGACAGCCTTCAATAATGTTTGTTTCTTGAGATTATGAATGATAGACCTTCTGACTTTCCTGCTGTGTTGCTCATGAGTTTTACAAACAGCAGCATATTCCGAAGTGTTTAACCACATTAATTTGTTCTTCTTTGTGCAGAGGGCCCCAAGTTATTCTGTAGATCAGTAGATCTCAGTGAAGAAAAAGATGGTTGGGAAGACAGACGTAGGTTATTGCTTGAGGTGAGTCTTTGACAGCTGTGGCTGAAAGCTGAGTGTGAGGAGGGAACAAGGCTGCTTATTTTGCATGAGAAATTAATTCAGGACCTCCAGAAAGGCTTGACATTTTGTAATTACCAAGGAACTAAACTTTTTCAGTATAAAAGTGTGTATAACACCATGTTAGGATGTCCAATCAGGTAAAATTACTGAATCTCTGTTGTACAGGACCAGTTACTTAACTGTATGTAAAAAATGTGTTTGAGACAAATAGGTAAATTCAGAGACTTATATTATTCATTATTAATTTTTTCTTACTATTTCAAATATTTTCAGGAATGCCGGAAGAAGCACAAGGATGCCAAAAGGAAAGTGAAAGTGAAACAATAAATATTTTTTACTTTACTGATCAGAAATGTTGCATGTTCCATCTTTGAAGAAGCTGCAAAACAGTGTTACTTTCAAAATACTTCCAGAAATCTAATAGAAAATAATAATTTTGGCAAAAAACTACTGAGACTTTGTTTCTACATAGGAACATGTTTATTCTGTCAGTTCAGTGTTTGTACCAAGGTCTGGGGTTTTGTATATGTGTGTACATAGATATATATATAAAAATATAAATATACATATGGTTTAAATGTGACTTGCTGCTTTCTAGGATTTTTGATAATTAGATCATGTAACAAAGGCATTCTGCTGTGTCCTCTGTCCCCAGTGCTGAACAGGGATGAGAAAGAGCAGATAGCTCTGTGTCTATAAGACTATATAACTTGTATTCTGCCTAATACAACAGAGATCATATTTCAGATTCATTTACAAATATTCGGAATGTGTTATTTGTAGGGTCAGAGTGTCTCAGAAGTTAATGAAAAGACATACATAACAAGGCAGACTTATGAAATGGATAATTTGTTCACAGAGCTGATTTTTTACTTTTTTACTGAGTTTGTATATTAATAACTATAGAGGACCGGTGTTGTATGCTTGGTATTGAATGAATATTTATAAGTTATGTCCACCTAGCCCCTCTGCTGCAGGGGGTCTGCTGGAGCAGGCAGGCTCTGCCAAGCCTACCCTGGAAACCCCTGCTAGGCCGAGGGGCACCTGGGTGCTTTTCTGGTCTGGGCACAGGTAAGAGGTAATTTTAAGAGATACTAATGTGTTTAAATATAATATTAGTAATACTGTCCACACAGCATTGACTTTAAGGTGGTGGGCAAATTACTCTTTATACAATTGTTCAAATAGAGTAGCATTGGCCATTCCAGTTCCATGTTTGAAAATGGATTCTGTTCCAGAAGTGCAAGAGGATCTTAGATCACTGCAGACTTGGCTGTAACTGCCTGCCTGTGCTGCCACGGCCACCTGAGGGAGCAGGAAAGCAGCTGAGAGCACCTGTACTAGTGCAGGAGTTACTCCTTCCCAAGTGCAGGACCCTCTGCTTGCTGTTCTGCAACCTCAGGAGGTCCGTCTGTGCCAGTGCTTGAGCCTGCCCAGGACTCGCCCCACGGCCGCAGAGTCTTGTGGTGCCTCAGCCGATCCTCCCAGTGCCCAGGTCTCCTCAGCAAACGTGCTGAGGGTGCTCTCCGTCCCTTGCGCCAGCTCACTGGGCAAAGGAGACTGACCCCAGCAGTGAGCCCCGCGCTCACAACCCTCTGAGCTCGGCCATTCAGCCAACTCTCAACCCACTCAGTGCCCACTCATCTAAGCCACACTTCCCCAGCTGCCTGTGAGGCTGTTCTGGGAGGCAGGGTCAAAAGTCTTGCTGAAGCCATGGCAGACAACAGCCACTGCTCTCCCCTCATCTACCCAGCCAGTCACTCCAGCACAGAAGGCTAGAGATGGGTCAAGCAGGATTTTCCCTTCCTTTTATTCTACAGGCTTCGAGATGACACGCAGCATGAGGTGTTCTGTCTCCGTTCTGGGGATGGAGGTGACACTGATGGGCCTGTCAATTCCCGGGTCCTTCTTGCTGCCCTTTTTGAAGACTGGAGGGATGTGGGCTTTGCTGCATCCTCAGGCACTTCTGCTGGGGAATCAGCGTCCCTGAAGTGCTGTCAGTGTTCGCCATGCCAGGGGCAGGAGCAGAGATTTGCCTTGGCCAGGGCCGGAGCCCTGGAGTGGCACTGCCTGAACACACTTTTTGTGCAACAGTGGCTGCCCAAGAGTCCTCGGTGGCTGCCCCAGGGCCTGGCGTTTGACCCTGTGCTTGCTGCAGCAGCCGCCGCCCCG